TTTTGTATTACAGTTGTCCGGGTATGCCATCATTGATACAAATATTTTGCAATTAAGATAATTATTTCGATATCATATAAAATAATTGTGAACACAATTTGCATTTAATAGAACAATGCTTGGCAATCTATGATCCCGTTTGTGGGTAATTAACAATAATAATCATATAAAACGACAAAAATCTTGATTAATGTGTAATTTTGTGTAACACTTATAGTTCTGATGGGAAAGTATATCTAAATCACTGCAAAATGTTGTACGAAAACTGTGAGACAGGTATCAAACGAATGCCTCTTAGGTTTTGTGTCGGGGATGACGAACAGAAGCTCTAAAATTATTGACTCTTTTTTGGTGATACACTAAAAATACATGATTTTTAATAAATAATACAATAAAGAAAAATAACAATTAAAACGAATTATTGTAAATCCGGTTATTTAATGCAAACATCATTTTGAGGCACACTTTCAATAGAGAGTTGAAAATTCATTGAATTTAAATCAAATGATGTCCTGAAGACAAGTGGCAGTGAAAGCATTATAACGAAACAGAATAATATTAACACAAAGACAGCAAATATCAACATTTGTGTCAAATTATTAATAAATGAATAACTCTTCTGTCGCTTATATTCGAGTTTTTGTCTTCTATTTTTTGTCTTATTAATGGAGAGCGAAGATAAGGAACCGCTTACTTGACTCAGATCACTGTCCGTGTCTTTACTACTTCTTCCAATGGATTCACGTCTAATGAATTGCTGACTAATAATAGTATTCCTGAGAATAGACTCATTGGAAGCGTTAAAGTCTCGACTCTTATAGTCCAACACATGAGTTGAGGAACAGTTGGTTTTGTTGAGTAAAGAGAATCGATTGGCAAACGCGAAGTCACCTGAAGTTATATTGAGTTGAGAAATGATTGGCAATCAATACAACGGTATAATCAATATAAAAACGAGTCATCACTTACTGGTATCGGAAGGGGCGACAGAAGGCGGTGGTGTTACCAGACCTGACATATCGTTATTAATCCAATGCGAAGATCTGAGATACTGTTGACTGTTGTGAAGATATGGCGAATAATTTAAGCACTCTTTGCGCGGACTTTTGGACGGACTTTGGTTTGGCTTAAATGGTGAGACCCAAGAGGTCTGTGCGATCGACTCGTAATGGAATTTCGCCGGATTTATAATATTCTTCGACAGACTATTGCCATAAATGAGCGCAGAATTAGCCGATAAATCATCCGCTTTTGGCAGCAATTCATTCCTCATGGGATGTCTTTGGATTGCATTCACTTTAAGAGAACTCGCATTGATTTCATCGCCAATGGACAGCGATTTAATCTGTTCACCAATGGACTGGTGGTCAGCACTGGTATCCTTTGATTTAATATTCACTTCTTTAGGATTCTTCACTTGAACTCTATTGGGAACTCCTTTCAATCCATTATTGATTGCTTTCTCAAACGATTGCTTTTTATAAGTAATTATTTGTTTGAATTGTTTGTACGCGAAGACAAACAAAAGACACAAACCATTGACACCGAAAAGGACGACATGAAGAGTGGCGATGAGGACGCGAAACAAGACTTTGTCGTAATTATCGATTATTTTTGGCGATTCACTCAACACTAAGAGAGTCCACAAGAAGAGTACCACAAAACGGAAAATAGACTTCTCTTCGCTTATCACTACTGAAGTCAGTGAAGACATTAAACCACAAAATATCACAAGAGTTTGATTCGATAAATAAAAGTATAAAAATTGGTTCAGTTTTGCCGGAAATTCAATCATCGAGATCTCAGTCTTGTCTTGAAATTCATTGATAGCAAAGACCGACAAAATGAGACCAAACGACAGACACAACACCGACAATACCGTAGTCGCTATAAATGGCAACCACTTCTTGAGTCGTCTGTCATTTTGTGAAACAAACACCGAATCCACGGAGTCTTGGCTGACCCTCACATGCCTTTTGGTGATACCTTTGATAATGTCTTTCAAACAGTTGATTGGTTTCAAAAGAATATTCTTCACAGTTGTCTCACAATTAGCACATAATTTGTATTCACTTTCCAAATGTCTTTTATATTCTTCGAGTTCTTCCTTATATTTGGTTTCATTAAATGGCATGAATTCAGACAAGAGTTTGATTTTGATTTCTTGGTTGACATTACATTCACTGCAGAGTTGACCACAATTTGCATAACAATCAGGTATTGGACGACAGAACCGGAGGTTGTTTCTCGACATCGGGTCACACGACTGACCAGTGATTGCTTTATTATAGTTACCATCCTTTCGGACAAACATATCATTAGTTTTATCGCACTTTTAGTAACCAATCGATAGATACCTCGGAAAAGCCATTGTATTGAAGACAATGAATACAATTGAATGAATTTCTTTGACTAAATAAGACATTTTGGGTTTCGTGGCAGAAATGACACACTTGTTGCCAATGATATGGTCGTCTAAATTGTGGTAGAAATTGGTGATAATTACGGTTATTATGGTAAAGACCGGCACTATTCCGGGCATTAAATTCAATACAAACCTTATTTTGATGAATAAGTAAATGATAACTAAAATGAAGACTAAGACCAACCAAATGATGGCTAATTGTTGACTAAAACTCATAATGAGTTGGAAATGAGATGAAAATGATTTGAAAAGACAATCCAATTGTAATCCAATTGTAATCCAAATGTAATAAACGTTCAGAAAATGAATGAATGAATGAAATAATGAAAAAGCATTTGAAAAGCAATGCAAACAAACAATGCGTTCACAGAATCGGTGCTAAACTAGTGACACATTTGGGACTCAATTGTTACAATTTGTTAAGAATTTCATTTTATTTGCCATAACTTTCTTTACAGAATTCACTACACATTCACACCATTTACTCATTGAAATAGCATTCAAATCAATCACAATCGATATTATTATGGTTTAGTTCTCTATATATAATTTCATAAATAATAAAAAAGTAAATCAAATGTAAGAAAAATTAAGTTAAAAATCCAACAAAAAGCAGATCTTTGGCTGACAGTCAATACCACATTTTCGTCAATTATTTTATACATGATTTCAATGATTTAAATGAATATAAATTAAAGTATAAGTTCATTAGATGATAACAAATGATAATTACTTTATATACGAATACTTAACACCAGTCCTAACTTGACTTCATTTCAATCAACTTATATACTGTATAAACAACTAAAATAATATATAATAGATTTATAATAAATTTGTAAATTAGATTAACTAATAGTTATTCGAGACAATCGATTATCATTTGACGGCCAACTGGTCCAAGAGGTGAGAGGCAGCCATTTCCATGTCATAGTTGGCTG